TTTTTTTTTTTTTTTTTTTGAATCTCCGCAGTCAAGGTCAGTCTTGTGATTGACAAGCTAAGGCTCTATTCATCTATTCCTTCTTTTTTTTTTTGAATGATTCTGTTTAGAAGATAGTCGCCTTGTTTCGATTTCACGTGATGTTGGTTTCTATGTAGGCTTGTTTGATTTTGCTGGTGGTTGCTCTTATTGATGTTTCTTGATTTGGTTTTGATGATTTGCAGGTATTCAAGAGTGGGCATCTGCTCATATCTTCCAAAGGTTAGTTATTTCCAGTCTTTTAAGTAGAGAATTTTCACAATTTCTCACAGCTTGGAGGGGATATGAAAAAAAAAATCAATGTACTTTCACTGTCTCGGACAATTTGAAGCAGCGTTCTGTCGTAAATTGCCAAAATCTTCCAGTTGCATGTGTATAATTATATGCACTGAGCAGCAATTTGATGATCGGTTCACCTTACCATTCCTAAGGAAACTGAAAGCACATTAAACTAAAGTTCGATTTTTATCACATGTTTTTTTATATGAAGTAAGAAGAAAAACAAATGATGTATAAATTATGAGAACAATGCCCCCTTGCCATGATGGTACTCTTGGGAAACATTTCGTTCGCATTCTCCCCCCAGTTCTAAGTGAGAAAGATGTAATATTGGTATTCCTGTCTACGCATAAATCAAGGTAACGTGATAGCATTGTGAATCCTATACTTCTCTTTTACTGCAATGATTATGGTGAAGTGTTACGGCTCTTTCGTAGAGAAGGCGCAGGGGTTGTTGGGGAAGTATAATCATATATGCAAGAAAGGGATGGTGCACTGTGACTTGTGAGTTATTAGAACCACATATATTGTGAAACACTTAGTGTTGGAGTAGACAGTGGTTAAAAGAAGTTGTAATAGCAACATGTACAGATGTCTTGTAATAGCCAGACATCCTTTTTTTCCCTGGCTTTCGTTCCTTCCACTCTGGAGAGGCTCATATTGTCCTAGAGCCTATATTGGTTAACTTACTGGAGCTATTACATTTATGTAAGACATTTACATCCAAATATGCACTTAACTAACAGTACATAGTCAACAACAGCTGAGACAGAGTAGGTTGATCCAAATATGCACATATGATGGTTATGGTAAAATGGAAAGTTGGATGATCCTTGGCTTCCTACCATGAAAGTGGAATTACGCTCTTTTTACGATTTAAACTCTTAAGGTGATATGGTTTAATATCTCACGTAAACTTCTTACAGGATTAGGATGGAAGTCTTGGAAGAAGCGATGGTTCATCCTTACGCGCACCTCCTTGGTTTTCTTCAAGAGCGATCCTGTTAGTTTTGTTCACATCTTGATTTCCTTCCGTTTGATCCTCTTTTGTTTGTTTCTTTTGTAGCATAGTAATTTTCTAATTTGTCGTGTTAGCTTCATATTATGTTATTTGCTCTTTAGTTTGATATATTTAAGCCCCGTTATGCAGAGTGCACTTCCTCCGCGTGGTGGTGAAGTAAATCTGACTTTGGGTGGAATTGATTTGAATAATTCAGGAAGGTATTAATTGATAGTTTCTCTTTGTTATGCTGTTTCTCTGCGTGCTCTTCTTTACTAATGCATTCCTGTATGTAGTGTTGTAGTTAGAGAAGACAAGAAATTGCTAACCGTTCTATTTCCTGACGGTCGGGATGGACGAGCATTTACTCTTAAGGTGCGTAGCTTCTCGCCCCCCCCTCCCCCACCCCACCCCTCCCCCCCAAAAAAAGTCATACAAAATCTGGTGTGAAAGTCGCGCGAGGCCGGGCGCGCTGAAACCTCTAATTGTTGACTTAGTTTTGTGTAATCTCTCCATTTTTAGTTTCCCTGTGTTAAGCTTGTAACATAATTAGTTACTGTCCTCTTTCTGTCATATACTTCAGGCAGAGACAATGGAGGACCTGTATGAGTGGAAGACGGCCCTTGAGCATGCTCTTGCCCAAGCACCAAGTGCTGCTCTTGTGATGGGACATAATGGGATATTCAGAACTGATAGTAATGATACGATAGAAGGATCTTTGCATCAATGTCTGTTCCTTAATTTCTTCCATGTTCTTCATTTTATATGTATATATATATATATTTTTTTTTTTGGTTGCATCTCCATGGAAATTCTCCTCCACTTGCTTGTACAACATAACATGAAGGTTAACTATCTACATGTATGTTGTGATGCTTTGCTATGATTAGGGAGGGACAAACGCCCAGTTAAATCTTTGGTTATTGGACGTCCAATTTTGCTTGCTCTGGAAGATATAGACGGAGGACCATCCTTCCTCGAAAAAGCACTTCGGTTTCTTGAGAAGCATGGTAATGTCCTGTTTGCAATCTGGAATTGCTTGCTGTGTACCCTTTAAACTATGTTATCATGAAATCATGAAGCTGTATTGATTTCAACGAGTAAGTTTTACCCATGTCCAATCCGTTTTCTTTATGCTTTTACCTGTTTTTGTGCAACTATTGTGGAGCTAATTGTTGGTAACTAAACTGAAGTGTTGCAATAATTAAGCTATGTAGTGTAATGAAAAAAATATTTTCTTTTAATATTATTATGTTCGATTAATGTGTTTTTTGCTTTTCACATCTTCTTTACCCCAACAACTATGCGCCTGTTCACGTTGTTCCTCAGTTTGTCCACCTTGGGAAGAAATTAATTACGTGAACAATAATTGTCATGTAGAGATTGTCACTTCCAAGTTGGCCACTACTTATTATGTGATCTAGGAGAACCTGGATGTAACTAATTAGCCTTCTGATTATTTCTATGATGGTTGTATCTTGACCATGGAAATATGTAGAAATAATTAATTTTTTTCCTCATTTTTCTCACACAATTGACAATCATTTCTCAGCTTTCAGTTTGAGGTGGATATTTCTATGATCAGTTGAATTCATATTATGATTCACCATTGCCTCGTAAGAGAACTTAGGAGTGGTGCTGAAGCTTTTGTTTCTCTCTCATCAGAGAGTATTCTGACTATACATATGCTTGATAGGAGTTAAAGTGGAAGGGATTCTGAGGCAGTCTGCAGATGTAGAAGAAGTGGAGAGAAGAGTTCAAGAATATGAAGGAGGTTTTTGCTTGATTCGAGCTGACATAATTGAAAGAAAATATTCTGTTTGATTCTGCTTTGATTACATTCTTGAATGCTTGTCTTATTCTTGCTTATTGTCAAATTGAATATCAAGTTTCATTTACTTTGACACGGTATGTTAAGTAATTTCATGGCCATTTGATTTCAGGCAAGACTGAGTTTAATCCTGATGAGGATGCCCATGTTATTGGTGACTGTGTTAAGGTTTGATATTTCATTAATTAATCAACTCTTTAGTTCCGTTTGATTTAACTCATAATTAATCGAGTTTTCTTCCATTCAGCATGTTCTTCGTGAGCTACCTTCATCTCCTGTTCCTGCATCCTGCTGTACTGCATTGTTGGAAGCTTACAGTAAGTTTCTTCCACAGTAATTATCATCTAACCATGTTTGCTCTGACTTCCTCATGTACTCGTATCTCATGCAAATTTTGTCTGGGGTTTAGTTTTGATTTACTTGGATGTTTTTGTGGCTGTTGAGAAGGAATTGACCGAAAGGAAGCTCGGGTGAACGCATTGCACTCTGCTATACAAGAAACATTCCCTGAACCAAATAGACGGCTCTTACAGAGGTAAGATGGTGCAACATTAGCTTTTGTTTGCTTGATTTGTTTTCTGGTACATTTGTCTCATTTATCTACATTATCTCATAAATGACTAATTGCATTAAAGTAGCTTCTATATATCTTGTAGGTACTGACCATTAATGCGTTAACAATAAAACACTGTCTAATGACAATGGTATTTTAGTTTGATGCGTAATGGCAGTGGTCAGATGTAAATATGAGTCAATTTGGTGAAATCAGGTAGGTTTTGCAAGTGCCTCTAGATATTAGATGGCGACTACTTTTCCTACTGAAAATAGTTATTTCATCAGGCACTAAACCTGTAGTATTTAAATGTTCACAAAAGAGTGATGTAACTGGAGACAACCATGGGACCAGTGCTTAGTTTACTTCTGGTATACCTTAAACACGATATATTCTTGTTATTCTAAAAGTTTAAGTTCTTCGATTAATATAACAATTGGCAGGCTTTACTTATGCAGATTTCATTAACAATAAATTGCTCGTAATTTAGATGAAATTGTTTGCTACATGTTCGCTAAAACTTAGGCTCCAACGATGACGGAAAAAAAGAAAGAACTGACGCATCAGAAGTTTCTATGCTATAGCATTAGATCGCTTTTGGCTGGTAACTTCTTACGATCGAGTTACAAACTTAGGGTTTTGATCTTCCTTTAATGACCACATATATATATGTATAGTTCATGAACTATATGGGCCTTGATTTAGTTAACACCCCCCTTCAAACTCAAACAAGAAACACAATGCAGAGGCGGAGTCAGAGGCGGAGGTGGAGGTGGAGGATCCGTAGCATTGGGTGTGAGAAAGTGTGAAGTGAAGATGATGTTGTTCTCTAGTTTGAGCTTTGGTGAAGATATCTACCACTTGCTGATCCCGGAACATAGAACAATTGTTTTCTGATGATAATGAAATGAGACTGGGTATAGGATGCATCGGCATCTATGTGTTTTGTAAATTCTTGCTTCACAGGATTATTGCCAATTTGTGTGGCTCCAGTGTTGTTACAACGAAGAGTTTTAGGAGCATCATATGAAGTACCAAAATCAGTTAACAACCATTGAAGCCATATAATTTTTAAAATAGTAGTGGCGAGTGCTCGAAGTTCTGCCATGTGCTAGATCGAGATATAACTGCCTGCTTCTTAGACTTCCATCTAAGAGGAGAAGAACCAAGAAAAATGCAATAAGAACGACGATATGTTGGTTACTCGCTCAATTCGAGTACGGGTAAGCATGAAGCTGAAGCAGACTATTACGATCATAAAACAAACATTGTAAGTACCGTAACAGACGAAGCCAATATCCAAAATAAAGTGAAGTAGAAACACTCATAATCTGACTCAATATATGAACATAAGCCATGTCAGGTTTAGTTACTGTATGATAAACCACATGACCCAAGATTTTTTGATATATTTCAGCATACAGAGTGTCATATGATATTTCTTCAAACTGAATAGTCGGTTGCCCACAATATTGTCGAGAAGGATCCTTAAGAGGACTACCAATAGGATGAAGCTGCAAGATCCATAGGTGTTGTCGATGTCCAATTATCATTAATATCAGATGAGCAAGCAAGAAGATCTAGTATGTATTTAGACTGAGAAAGATAATAGCCCGAGTCAGAGTGCATCCTTAATGCCCAAGAAGTAGCTAAGAGGACCCAAATCAGGCTACTAGGAAAAACAAGTGGAGCCTGTTTAAGACCATATGAAACGCGACAAAGATGACAAACATATCCGGTGGGGTTATGGTGGTGGCTCCATATAGCCTTTGTCACGAAAGCATTTGTCACATCCATTTGAGATAAGATCCAAGAACGAGTAGCGGCCAGTGCAATTAGAATACAAAAGTATTGTACTAAAAATCGGCCTACGCAGCCGTTTAGGTGTTAGGCGCCACCCGACCGCTTCGATTTGCTTGAATCGACTGAAAAAATCGGCTAGGCGGCGCCTAGGCGGACCTATGCGCTCCTAGGCTGGAGATGAAGACCGGGCAAGGGGCCAAAACAGGCCGCGTAAAGCCTAAAGACCCGTCTGAACCGCACAAGCACGCATCCGAGTGCACGGGCCGATGGGCGGGACAGTGCACATGGCAGTGCAAGTGCATGCGCAAGGTCGCCCGACAACGCTGGTACGAGATAGCGCGTTGATGAAGATCATGTATCCACTCAACTCGATTTGCTTCGAAAGTTGCTTTGCCACGGCTTCCTTCTCGGCGATATATTGTGGATGACTCAGATATCTGTTATCTTCTCACAATTGTGAGACAACTTGGACGTGAATCCTTGCCTAACTCGAGCTTATGACGAACTATGCGGTGGAACGTCCTTTCGACACGAAAGGACTTTGTGATAAAACTCTAAGAATTCTTAACACAAGAAGTTGGTGACCAATGGTCGATTTTTTCTTTAATTCATTGCTTAAATAAAAAGATGAATACAAAGGCCTATTTATAAGAAAATAAAGACTAAGCCTATACTAGTCCTAATAGAAATCAAATACTAATTCTAAGGCAACTATATATCCTAACAACCCAAAATAATAAAACTTCTAATTCACGTAGATCTCTCTACGTGAATACTAATCAAAACTTGTAAATAACCAAGTAACAACTCCTAATCCTACTAATGCAAAACTCACGTATAAAACCTCCTAAGAAATAAACTAACTTGCGCTACTAACTAATATCTAATATAAACTCTCACCAAATAAATACTAACCTAACAAACACTAGGCTAACCAAATAAATATTACTAACTTACACTAACTACAAAACAAACCTGACTATTAATTAATTAAACTAATTAATCTAAATAATAATTAATCTAATTAATAAGCATCTTCTAGAAACTTCGCCCTCGGCTCGCACGACTCGCCTTGTGCTTTCGCGCATCATTTCCACGTACGCCCGCGCGTGCTTGCTCGCGCGGGTCCTCAGTCCGCTATCATCTTCCAGGCCGTGAGAACCGTACTCGCTAGGCCCACAGTCACTAAGCCCGTCTATGCGTATTTGTTGGTCGACCAAAGCTCTTGACCCTTGGTGCATAGCTCGTGCTCTCCCATCCACTCGACCCGTGCTCTTCTGCCTCGCTGCTCGACCCTCTCTTCGTGGTCGACCTTTGGGCACTCAACCCTCTTGCTGAGCTCGACCTTGTGGAGCTCGACACCGTGTGCTCGACCCACTTGGCTATGGGTCGACTATCTAGTGTGGTTTTGTGCATCTTCACATGACCTTGCGTGATCCTCAAGAACAACCTGTTGCGGCATATCTCGTTCTCGAGCCTACTCTCCTGCGCGTGGTAGCCTGGCGTCTGAACCTCTCAACCATCTTGGCCTTCACTCGAGACTCGCGTCGTTTGACTCAAGTCTCATCCCGTCCTCGCTGTCGATCTGCAAGGTTGTCGGGTCTCGACCATGCGCGTCTACGCCAATGCGCGCATTCGCGCCCTTGCTGTCGGTTCACCTCATGCACATGCTCGTGCTGCTGGATGCGCACGTTGCGCCTGAATGTTGCCCGCCTTCTCGCGTGCTCTCGCGCACCTCCATGCGCGACCTTTGTTGGCCTGCTCCCTTATACTCGTTGCGTCCGGGTTCGTCCAACCTATCCTCGTTAGACCTACCTGTGTGCTAGGTCTAACCTAATCAGGCCCTTGTGAGCTCCTCGATCCAGCTTGACCCTCTCGTGTGTGTCTCGACCTCGTGCGATAAGCTCGAGTATGTGCGTGCGTCCTTGCCTTCACTTGGGACTTTCGTTTGTTATCTTGGGTCATTTCCAAACATGCCCATCTCCTTAACTGCGTACAGGTCGGCTCGTGTAGTTCATCTCGTGCTTGTACGGCTCGCATACGAGCTCGTACCCGTCTCTTTGGCCACGCATATGTGGTTTCGGCCCTTTCCTCGGCCTTCTCGGGTCGTCTCGGCCCTTGGCCCTTCTCGACCTCAGAGGTCAAAACCTCCATTCCCGTCACGCGCGCATAACGCGAGCTGGCGCGAGCGACTGGAGCTCGCACTGGCATCAAGACACGTGCGCGAGAATACCACGAGAGGCGGAGGTGCACGATGTGCGCGAGCGTGCGACACGGGCGCGTTGAGCGGAGACGCGCGCGAGAAGGTCGGACAAGACACGGCCGCGGAATGCGATTGGTCGTAGAGTGCAAGCGCGCAGAGACGAAGATACGCACGAGAGGCCGAGGTTCTCATGGGCGAACACAATGTGGACGCACGCGTTGGGCTATCATGCGGACTGGCGTGGACCTGGGCGCATACGCATGGACGGGCCTAGCTACTAGCATAGGCCTGTCAAGCATGAGCCTTGCGAGAGTGGGCATGAGGACTTGGCAGCGGGCCAGGAGAAGCGCGCAACCGAGCACGCAGAGGAATTCGCGGGCGAGACACACGATCACATGAGGCGAGCTGGTCAAGACTTGGAGCACAAGACTTCTAGAAGACTTAAAGACCAAGCTAGGCCTAGATCCTTCTAGAAAGATCCTTCTAGAAGGGATTGGTTGATTTTATTAGCATATTAGTTATGAGTTTTATTATTTCCCTAGATTGTTTAGGAGTTTAATTATGTTGAGATTTCTTAAATAAGGTAGCATAGATATCTAGTTTCCTTTGAACTAGATACTAGATATATTATTTCCTTAGGCTTAGAATTCTAGTTCTCTTAGGATTATATTTAGTTCTTGTCTTTAAATACCTTGTCTTGCCATTCGATTTTATCATTGAAGAATTAATAAGAAAACCTTCCTCTTGGACAAATCTCTTGTGTTTGAATTCATTAGGTTTATATCATACAATTCCGTTAGAATTAGGTCGATAGTGCGGGTTTTATCACAACTTATCGTTTCTAGAAGACGGCCGTTGACGCGCGTTTATTCACAAACCGGGTCAAGAAACACGATTCTTCATTATTGATGCTTTAATTGAGAATGATCAATCGTGTATCTTATTTACCTCTTTTGTTTTTTTTTTCCATTATTTT